TGCTCTGCGGGAAGCCTGCTTCTCCCTCTCCACTCCCCCTGCTTGTGTTCCCTCTCTCGCTGTCTCTCTCTGACAAATAAATAAATAAAATCTTTAAAAAAAAAAAAAACTGCTGGGAATATCTGAGGCTAATCTAGAGGTGCAGAAACGTCTACCTTTCTGCCCTAGCCTCCTCAATTTAACCCTTCAGTGCCCACATTTCAAAACCAAGCATTCTGACAGCTTTGTCATTGTCCCCCTTCTCTGCACCTCTATTTCTTATCTTTGAAACTGTGACTTCGTTACCCCATCTTCATCTATAGCACTATCACAAAAATGATAAATTATTATAAACACTTTAAAAGCATTTTAAAAATTCATTTTGAGGGGCGCCTGGGTGGCTCAGTCGTTAAGCGTCTGCCTTCGGCTCAGGTCATGATCCCAGGGTCCTGGGATCGAGCCCCACATCGGGCTTCCTGCTCCGCGGGAGGCCTGCTTCTCCCTCTCCCATTCCCTCTGTTTGTGTTCCCTCTCTCGCTGTGTCTCTCTCTGCAGATAAATAAATAAAATCTTAAAAAAATAAAAATTCATTTTGACCTATGACTTTAAGTTTCCAGTTTTAGTGCTGAAAGTAGATGAGGTGATTTTTTTTCTGTGACAGTGTTTCCAGTCTGATGATGAACAGTTTAATGCAAAAAAAAAAAAAAAGTCCCTTTTGATCACTTGATAAACACATTCTAATTGATTTTGAATTATTGTTAATTGGCATAATGTGTCTCAGATGTGACCACTTTCAGAGAGTGGGAAATATGCCCTTGTCATATCCCAGGTGACTTTCACAATGTAAATAACATGCTGAATATGCAAGTGATGACAAATTGAACTCTGAATTACAGATGGCAGAAATTCTAAAGCCTGCCTGATGAATTGATATGATAGAGTATGTGCGCATGTTTCCAAACAGCAGCAACCTTATGAAAAACATGGAGTGTTTTTGTGGGGATCCCCTCTTTCAGTTAGGATAGAAAATTCAGTGAGATGATCACAAATCCAAGGATTACATAGGAATTTCTCAAAGCCTCTCCCGGGGACAACCTGACTGCGAGGCTCCGGTGATCATGAGAAAACCAGTCAGGAGATGGAAATGGCTTAAGAATATGAAGCTATCTGCCCCTGACTGCTCAGGAGACTTGCCTGGCTCTGAGAGAAGGAAATCATGAACACGGGAGAGAGTGGGGCCAACTTAAAAAAAATCTCATTTTAAATTTGGACTCAAAGCAGAAATAGTAAGAAAAAAAGAACCACACCTAAGGTTGGTTGAAGGAATGTCTCACCAGAGGATCACCCACTGAACTAGGATCACTGGGGCTAGGGCCCTCCCTTTCTAATAAGCTCTCCGTGAGGCCCTGATGCGAGCTAGAAATTGTGAATTCCCTGATTTAAATGACACACAGCAACAAGTTAAAGACAGACTGCTTAAAGAGGTTTTCATGGGACTCTGGAAAGAGAAAAGTGGGGAAATTCCCTCACCAAATTCAAAGGAATCTGTGTCATAGCCATGAGCACCATCTTACTACCTATCACATTTAATTAATGTCCTTAATTTGAATTTGATTGGTCTTGTGGGTTTGAGTCGAATGCGTACATTTTGTTTTATGGTTGTACAAGAGCCATAATCACAAGGACTTTATCCCGTAGGCTTCAGTAAACACCAGGGCTCTGAGGTTTGTTTTTTCTTTTATTCCTTTGAAAGAAGCCCCCTTTCTTTTCTTAGTTCTAAAACTCCTGTTTCAGGGAAAACCATAAAAAGGAAATGAGATCGAGGAAGAAGATCTCTGAAATGCACTTCGGTCCCCTCCACCAAGTTGGTTTTTACCTCTTTGCTAGGCACTTATACTCACGTCAGGGCTGCAAGGATCCTTTCCAACTACCTTACTACAGGAAGATAAATCACCGTTAAATAGAAATTCTTAAAATCACATACAAGATGCCCTAAAAATAAAAGTAAGTTAAAAAATAAAACCCTACATTGCCAGTAGACACCAGATTCAGCCACATCCAGGGCTGAAGGAAAGCACACATGTTAAGAATACGTATCTTCAACTTCTTCCCCTGGTGCTCCCTGACACTTAACTCACGTACCATCTTTGTTCTTACCTCTCGGTGCCTATCCCGGTCCCGTGACTTTTCCCTCACCCAGTCAATTGTGTTGAAATCATCATAGGTCCCCACACCAGGGATTGGCTCCTCCAAGAAGTCCATCATCCTATTTGAAGAACCTATTCCTCCACCATTGTATGACCTGTCCTCTGTATTGAACAGGAAACAGACATTAGTGCCTCAGACACTGTAAACACTTTAATACCTCCCTGCTGAGTACCAAAAGGTGAGTCCTTAAACCATCGGATCATTACAATTAGGGTGTGCTGATAAAGCAATATAATCATTGGTGGGAACATCCATCATATTTAGAGGTTTCTGTGGTCTAGGCACAAAACGGTGAGTGCCTTCAGGCCGTATAAATGGAAAGGGACAGATGAACAGGACAGTACAAAGGGGAGAATTGACAGGAGTTGAAGTGTAGTGGGAAAGGATTTATGAAACAAAATAAAGGAGCCCGCGGAGCAGCTTAGGTATTTCAGTTTCTTTTATGGAAGGGAGACAAAAGGGCCAAAGGTCTTTGCAGACATATCACATCAGAAACCATTTTGCATGTGTAAGGCAGTAATTCAATTCTGGGAGGTGGCTTTTGCCTGAGTGGGAATGCCAAAGAAAGCATGTCAGCCTCTTCAAGAGTTAAGCTGGCTGGAATGTACACATTTCCCTTCAATAGGTGGAAGACTTTGATCCCTGATGTAATGGGCTTGTAGAAACTTTTACTGAGTATGTCAGAACAGCCCAAGACTTACAAGTAGAGATTCTAAGACCAGTGCACAGCTTGGCGATGGGCTGTTCCTCTCTGATCCTTCAATGGAAGCAACATACCCACTTGCCCACCTGCAGTCCTTTATCTGCTTAGCTTTCAGCGCTTCTATTACAGTCACTTATGCAAATGTTTTGTCTTCCTTTCTAGACCGGAAGCTCTTTGAGGGCAGCCCTCTATCTGAGTCATCATTGCCTTCTCGCATCTAACACATAGCCAAGATTCAATAAATACCAGCGGAATCAAAGTTTATTTGCCGAATGGTGGGGATGAGAAAGAAGTATTCAAACTCAGGAGCTGTACACACACAAGGTTACTTAGTATTGCTTGACAAACTTGTTCCAAATATTTCCACCTGTCCTCTGGTGAAACAGTATTTCTCTATTAAACACAAAATGTAAAACAGTATTCAGGAATTTATGCAAACGCGAGCTGAGGAAAAAATGCAGAGTAATGCTATCATTGAACTCAACCAGCCAAAGCTCACATTCGCAGCATCAACCTTAGCAGGGACAAAGCTTCATCCAGACTGTTTGGTGATGAATCCCTCCGCAGAGAAGGCCAAAGTGGGCCTGAGCTGACACCCAGCTCCCTCCTACCCAGCCTCGTCCCCATCTTCACTCTAAACTCCTACAGACACTTCAGCACTGTAGTAGGGTAAGTGGAAATTAACCCCCAAGCTGTACCTGACTTACAAACTGTCAGTCTTCCAAATACCTCATCTGGTATACCTTTCACCAGCAGCACACACATTTAAAAGGAAAAGCTCTGCAGAATCCAAATCATATTGAGGGTGGGAGTGGGGGTGGGGCTGGAGTGGAGGAGGGGAGCAAGTTAATCTTAAAACCCCCTAATCAAAGTCCTTTCCATATCTTCCAGCCTACCTGGCTGTAAAATGGTTGGCTGCTGAATCACCAGCCCAGAGTTTCCTATCGTGTCAGTGGCATACTGATAAACATTAATGCTGGTGTGTTTGAGAGCTTGGAGGGGAACAGCCAGCTAGGAAAGGGGGGCAGAAAGAAAATAAAGTATGGTGGGGGGGCGGGGAAAAAAAAAAAAACAAGCTGTTTCAACTCTCGAGACAAATGCTGACATGAACATAGGACACCAAACAACCAGAAATTGACTTTTGAAAGCAGGTTAATGCTCCAAATGAATTTGCTCTGATTCAAGGGCTCTCCTTTCAGGAGAAATTTAGAGAGGATTCGGTGAAACTGATTTTTAAAAGCACCCAACAGCTATCTAAGGTTACACGATGTATCAAAGGAGGCCCCCCGGCTCTAAGGACATTAAAAATGAAGCTCTGCAACAGCTTCCTAACAGGAAAGGAAAGAATCCTGTTACATCACTAGGTAACATGAGCACTGCATCATCGTTCTTTGTAGATAGTCTCCTGTTAGCAATGCAAATTGTCAGGCAGCTCTGCAAAGAGCCAGCAGTGATCAGAAGCCGAGAAACAGACTGCTTGTGATTCTCCAGATCCCCTTCTCCCTGGGGTCACACTTCGGTCCTGGGATGGGCTCAAGTCGGCTTACCTTCAATCACAGCTTTCTTTTTTTCTGCCTCAAGGAAGAAATAACCTGGGCAGCCCGCATTTGGCCATTTAGGTTGCGGCGCTTTTCTAGAAGGAGCCCCGGGAGGCACTGCTTTAGAAGGGCACTTGCTGCGTTCTCTGCCTTTTGCAGGAACAAATGCCACCTAAGGCACCACCAGTGTTCCCCGGGCGGTCAGAATGTGATGTCACTGGTGGAGTCACGTGACCAGACCCTTGGACCAGCCTTGGAGAAAGGAAGATTTTTTTTTAACCGAGCACTGGCGCCTTAAAGATGTAGTCTCATCTAAACCAAGGCCGTCCCACGGGGGCCGCCAGGTCAGTTCACAAAACCGGGGTGCAGGCAGGCTTCAGTCTTTAGACCTTATTTAGCAGCAAATCTAGGGAGGCAAAGTAGGGCTATCTGAGAGCACTCAGGCGAGTTACAGGGATCCTAAGTTAAAAAGGGAGAGGGGCAAATACAGAAAAGCCTTTTTAAAGAAAACGCCCTGGAGAGCAAAAACACGGAGGAAATCTCAGACATGTGACGCTGAGTGAGAGATGCCAAACACAGGGGCACATAGCGCGACTCTCTCCACAGAAGTTTGAAACCAGGCCAACCTACATTATGCCGTTTTAGGGCACAAATGTAAGTTGCCACATTACAAAGAGAAGCAAGGGAATGACAAAAGTACAGACGGTAGCTACCCAGAGGAGGGGAAGGGGTCGCCTTCTGGATGGAGCACATGGTGAGGGTGGGGCTTCGAAATGCCGGTAATTTTTCTTGATCTGAGCCGTAGTTACCTGAGTGCCCACATGATAATCATTCTTTAAGCTGTACGCATATGTTCTATGTCCTTCTGTGTATACATCATAATTAGAGAAAATTATGGAAACGGAACTGCATGTGAACTTACTATACAAGCTCAGCTCTTTAATAGCACCTAGTAACTTAAAAGCTCAGATTACAGTCAAGAAAATGAGTTGTTTCATAGTATTTAGTTCTCTACCCAGAAAGCAACATCAAATCTGATCTCACTAATCCAAACTGGGTAAAACTAGCTATTTCAGCTGTGAAAATAAATGCGCTACTACATTTGCATTATTTAAAAGACTCTCCCTGGGGCTCCTGGGTGGCTCAGTCGTTAAGCGTCTGCCTTCGGCTCAGGTGATGATCCCGGGGTCCTGGGATCGAGTCCCGAATCGGGGTCCCTGCTCTGCAGGAAGTCTGCTTCTCTCTCTCCCACTTCCCCTGCTTGTGCTCCCTCTCTCACTGTGTCTCTCTCTGTCAAATAAATAAAATCTTTTTTTAAAATTAATTAATTAAATAAATAAAAGGCTCTCCCTTCCCAGGCCCTATTCCTAAGGCTATTCTTCAGCAGGTCTTAATTAACTGTGCAATAAGGCCAGTCGAGTAAAGGAGAATGAAACAGCCATCTCTCAACTTCCTCAGTGAATCTGCAGGACAGTTGCTGTTAAACATTAATCCAGTCAGTGTGCTCCAATAATCAGACCTAAATGTAGGGGTCTGAAATGTTGTGATCACTCTCATCACTTCTTAGGGCCCGATGCATCCTGAAATGTTAATACAGCAAAACCTTATGAAATGTGAGGGACTTCGTGAAACCTGTGTGCTTTGGGTCCGGTCCATCATTATCGTAACATCTCAGTCTCTTGATGAACTCAACTAGCATTAATGAGAAGAATTAAAATGAAGTGGCAACTGATAGTATTTGTGAATGAACTGCAAAGCCTGAAAATCAAAAGCGATTTGTGGCCCAAGTATGATTGCGTTACACAACTGTACTTTTAGAAAAGTGTGTCTATCTTACTCAAAGAGCGTAACATGCCCAAACTCATAAGCCTCCTTCAAAGTCATTCTTTATTAAATAGGATCCTACCAGTAGTTTCTGAAGGTAACTGCAGAATTCACTTATATTATCTGGTAAGATGTATGTTATCTCACTAGATGATTTTATGCTTCAAGATACTATATGTTTTGGTATTTATAAAATGTATAGTTCTTCAATGTACAGTGACTGAATTGTAGGACTGGTACCGTGTTCTAGTAACTTTTGATGTAAGTTCACGTGTTTTTCAAATGTTACATCTAGGGGAGGGACTTTATTATTCCATGTAAATTTACTTCCTTTGAAAACTAGGTCTGGTAGCTACAATGCAGTCCTTGTACTAAAATGAGATTTAATTTAATTACAATTCCCCTTTGTGCCAAATTTGTAATCTCTAGCATATGTTCATGATACAGACTGCCAGGCGTAGGTCCATTGATATTATTGTGAAAATAAGACATTTTAGAAATGCTTACCAATTTGTAATGCAGCCTATGATAAAAACCAAAAAACATAGTTAACATTTGGGGACAAACAGAGTTATGTTTCTGGAACACAGATGTGATCAGATCACCTTCTGATTTCTAAAATGTCAGTGGCTCCTATAACAATGTTTTTTTTTTAAATTTTAATTCCAGTGTAATTAACATACAGTGTTATATTTGTTTTTAAAACTCTCAGCATAGGGAGGCCACTTAATGGGCATTTGGCACAAGTGTAGACCCAGAATTTTTAAATATCCTCATAATTTTTAGAATAGGACAAATAAAATACTTAAAAGTACATAATAATAATGACGACAATGATGTTACAACTATTTTCGGTTTCATTAATGAGAGGGATTAAATTGTTTCCACTCTTTCACGGACATACCTATATCTGACTGGATGACAAACACCTTAAACTGTGGGTCATATGCCACATCGAACTGGTTTCTTTTCTCAGCATTTTTTTTTAACTTACTAGAAAGAAATGGTAAATTTATAAAACTTAGTTGTCAAGAAT